CTAGGCCCTTCCCCTTCCAAGTTTTCATGTAAAGTCCTTATTGTAAAAAGTTTTAACTCAAAATTTAGCTTTGTCTTGGAAATAGATGATTTTCTATTAAAAGTTAGACTGGGAAAATTGATACATTTCATATAAGCCACCAAGCAGTCATTAAATTGAAACCTATCTGTCTTTCATTTTATTATGATGTCTTAAAGTGACTTTTTTTATCAATTTATTTTCTTTTCTTTTAGCAATTTTAGTTAATATTTCTCCCTTGACTACTTTTTGTTTCTGCTTTTGGAACTTTATCACTATTAGTTTGCTATTCTTCTTACTGTCTTTGTTTCAACTAAGTTTTAGAATCGTTTTGGACTAATATTCCAAATAATGCTTGGAGAAAAAAAACAACATAACACTACAGTACAACAAAACAAAAATATATCTCAATAAGGATTTCTATGTTTCAGCAATACTATTCATCTTTTCAAAACAACATTCTATTGAGAACTCATGTTCTTGAGGGAGCAATTCTGAAGAATTTCTTCTACTCACAAGCCAAGTTCCAATATTTTATTTTATAGCAAGAAGTAAGGTTACAAAAAGTTGAAATCAACTTGCATCAGCAAATAAACTACTACAATGGGTAAAAGACACTAAGTGAGACTATTTCAAGTCTAAAACTTTTTGTCCAGTTTAAAAAAAAATCTAAGAGCCTGAGGATTTAAGTATAAAAGTATAAAACCAATAGTTGCGTTTTTGAGCAAATAAGAATTTGTCATCTCTCTAGTAAGCAGATACTAACTTAAAAGAAAAAAAGTTCAGCATTCTATGTTTAATATTTTAAAAAATCAACATCAATGAGATTATTTTATTCTCAAGGTATTTTATTTATATAAAAATACACATGAAGATGTATTATTGTAGTTGGAAGTGATCATAGAAGTTATATAATTAACATCAGATGTACATTACACATGAATATGAACACATATATTAAGCAAGAATAATGTAAGTGTCCCAGTGTCACAGGTACCTTGAGCTGCACTGGCTGCTTTGCTACTTCACTCATTCATTCCTTAAACTCTCTCTCTTTTTTTTTTTTTTTACCACTCAGCGTTCTCTGATCATTCCTTAAACTCTTACTCTCATCTTTTCTATCATACAATTTTGTATATCTTACAATAAATTTACTAAGAATTCATAATTAAATAAGTTGCGTTCTTGTGCAGCATACAACTTAGTGGAAAGAAAAATACTGATGTTTAAATACGAGTAATAATGTATGACAATTATCAGTGAAATTAAGAAATAGAACAAGGCGATGATGATTGGTGAGGGGCGGAGAGTTGAAGAACGTTAAACAGGAGGTCAGGAAAGGACTTTCTGGAAACTGAGACATGAATGATGACAGGGGGCAAACAGGCAAATACGGAAATTGTGGGTAAAGGGTAGGTAGAGCCACAAACTACGGTGAGAGCTGGTTTACCTGAAGGACCCAGAGGAGTTAGTATGGCTGATTCAGAATGGGGGAAGGGGGGTTCAGGCTGGTGTGGCTCAGTGGGTTGAGCACCAGCCTGTGAACCAAAAGGTCGCTGGTTCAATTCCCAGTTAGAACACATGCCTAGGTTGTGGGCCAAGCCCTCAATAGGGGGCACATAAGAGGCAACCACACACTGATGTTTCTCTCCCTTTCTTTTCCCCCTCTTCTTCTCTCTGTGAAATTAACTAAATAAGATATTTTTAAAAATAAGAATGAGGGAAGGGAATAGTGCTGAAAAGTGGACTTTGCATTGCAACGGGGTGTTTGAATGGTCTGAATCAGGAAGGATAAGTTGGTATAAAGAATCTTGCCTGAGCATATCTGATTAAGAGTCTTGGCACAGAACAGTTAAACGTATTCACGACCGGGTAGGCTTTGATTGCAGTAGCAGTCATGGATAGGAAGAAACGTAATCAAGTTCAGGCCAGATGTTGGGAGTTAAAAAGAAGTAACTTTCTTAAATATGGACATTAAGAAGCTACAAAGTCAACTTGCTTCCCAGATATCCTGGCAGCTTTATCTCCATAAGGTGCCACAGATTGCTATGGAAATACAGGCATGAGCATGCAACACCAGTGAATAGCTGGTTCATCTTTGTTGTGTATAGCTCATAAGCAGCTAGCACCCAAGGCCAGAATGTTCCCATCCTACATGCCAGATCATTTGAATGTTAGCAAAATTCACTATCTTCACACATCTTTTATGAAAATGTAGAGTTGCAGTGTGGTAAGAAGCCTTTACAGAAGAATAATCCACAGTGTGTCCATGTGGTAAGAGCTTGTGTGAGTTGCCCACTAAGTGTTCTTTGTGCATATGTCTCATTATTCCACAAGAGATAAGGGAAAGGAATAAAATGAAAATGTTTTCTTATTTGCAGACTGACCAAGTGATTTGTTTGGCGGAGATGGGAAACTAGGAGAATTGTGATGTTTGTGGGGAGGGCTCTCTAATCAGTTAACTTTATGAAACTTATTTTACAGCTTAAAATAACCATAGATAACCTAGTGAAACCCCTCATAATGACAGCTGTAAGAGTACTACTCAAAAACATAAAATGACAATTTGTCCAAGGTCATATAACACATAAATGCTGCAGCTGAGGCTAGGATTCAGAATAGCCCTCAGTTCAGTTTCTACCGACAGCACAATACATTTCAGTTTACCACTTATCTGCCAAGAAAACATATTAGTTAAAGTGCTTAGAAGCTAACTTCCTGGAAAACATCATGGGATGCCTTTCTTGTGTACACTTATGTTTAATTCAAATAGCAAACTGCCCTTGGAATGTAAATGAGTGTGTTCTTCTCAGGTTAAGTTGTGACAGAGAATAATTTAAAATGTAAGCAGTTTTATTAGTTATTATGCACAGTGTAGAACAGAGATACAGTCTTGTGGGTATTAACATTTTATCTTTTCTCTAAGTGAAAAAAAGTGACTTGGCATTCTAGAAATCATATGGGATAATGAAACATACCTAGAGTTTGGAGTCAATTAATTGCACCTAAGCTCAGCATCACCTAGGCTACAAAAACCCACTCGGGCATTCCACTCCGCTGTGCCTCAGTTTCCATTCTGTAAATTATGAATAAAAATTAAACAAGATAGCTCCTAAGAGGATGCCTAGGGCATAATATGCATTCATTATACATTAGATTTAACCAATATTGGAATATAAGATGGTATGCACTTTATTTCAGATAAGGTCTGATCTTTGAAGAGCTTTAAAATGCCACCTATGTCTTCTCAGGCATACCTACTCCTACAATCTCCCTTATAAATATCATTACATAGCTTTTTAAAAATGTGATTATTCACATTGGAATCACTGGGAAAAACTATAAAAAGTGTAAGAAATGATAGAGTATACTTTTAATGATTGTTCAGTAGAAGTTTTCCTTGGGGAAAATTTAATCATTAAAACTTCCCAAGTATTTTATTATCTTTTCATGCAATTCCCTGAATAGCCATATCCCTTGTTAATCCACTAATTTATTCTGAGGCTGGTCTTACTGATTAATGTCCCTAGATGTCATTTAACGGAATAGAAATACTGTCAATTATAGAGTTTCTTTTGACCTTTCGACATTTCTATTTTCCATCCAGTGTTGATTAGTAACATTGGAAAGGCATATGCTATGCAGAAAGCATTGTACCTGAGTGAATCACTGGGTATAAATTAATGAGGAAGTAAGAGTTTCCTCCACTAAACCAGTGGAGAGAGAAGAAACTCTTTTTCTGGAAAAGTCCAGATCAATTATTCCCTTCACCTACGGATCTAACTACAAATATAGAGCCTTCAGGTCTATTCCCCCAAATTTCTTGGAAAGTTGGAAGGGGTAGTTCTCAGGGCTAAATATTGTTAATGAGTAGGAATGTTTGACAGAGATGTTTGATTTTCAAAAACACAGAGACATTTCACACTGTGTGACACACTATGAGAATACCATGAAAATGCCTGTCAAAGTAACATATAAATAAGAATAATAATTCTTATACAATAAATCTTTCATATAAATAAGAATAATAATTCTTATTTATTATTATTAATAAATAAGAAGAATAATAAGAAATTTAACAAGTGTCATGGAAATTATTTTATCATGCATTTGTTCACTTAACCCATTTTACAAATATTTAAGGACCACTCTTTATCAGTCAGGTTCTTTCTAGATACTGTGAATACCACAAAAAAAAAGAAAAAGAAAAAGAAAAAAGAAAACTTGAGACATTGTTTCTAACCTAACCTAGCTTTGGTTCTACTAAGAGTCAGATATTAATCAAATAATCACCCAAATAAATATAAAATTAACATTTATTTATAAAGTGATAAATAGAAAGACACTTGATGTTACAAAAATATATTAAGAAGAAAATGTATAGTCAGGGAGGTCAGAAAGAATTACCTAATGAGCTGATAGAATTGAAATTCAAGACAGAATAGGAATTAAAATGGCAAATGGAGGAATGAGTGAGAGAGATCTAGGCTGAGAGAAGAGGGCATGTGCAAAGGCCCTGTGTCAGAGCAAACAGGAAACGCAAAAGGAAATAAAATAAATATAACGTTACCTGGTATTTCACAATATCGCTTCCTCAATGTCACATATTTAACCTTTCAATGAGGAGGAGGGACAACTTTGAATTTCATGTCCTATAGCTAGATTATTTTGTATTCTTTCTAATGTTGCAAATAAACAACTATCCAGGTCCTTTCCTTCGTCCTATGTACTTAAGACAATTCAATTAACTCAGTCTTCTTTAAAGCCTCAACTCTCTCCTCTTGGAGGAGTTAAGGTTTTATTCACTTTGTTGTAACATTTTAAAGTGTAATACATAAGATTAGTTTTCTGAATTTCATTTTTTCCTCTAACCTGTTTTTTAAAGTTATCTCATAATATAAATAATATTGATAAACTTATAGAAACATATTTTTCACTGATCATTGTTGTTGTTATTATTGTTATTATTACTACTACACTTTAAAATGGAACACTTCACAAATTTGCATGTCATTTTTTTGAGCAGGGCCCATGCTAATCTTCTCTGTATTATCCCCATTTTATTTTATTTTATTATTTTTTAAAAGATTTCATTTATATATTTTAAGAGAGGGAAAAGAAGGGAGAAAAAGAGGAAGAGAAACATCAATGTGTGGTTGCCTCTCAAGCGTCCCCTACTGGGGACTCAGCCCACAACCCAGGCATGTGCCCTGACTGGGAATCAAACCAGTGACCTTTCTATTTGTCCTCATTTTATTATATATGCTCCTGGAACAAGCACAATGGATTATTATTGAAACTATTAATACTGTAAAAGTAAATACAAAGGACATAAAAAAGCAGGTACTAGAAAAGTTTAAAATCAGTTAAAATTAGGATGAATTAAAAACAATCAGGTACTACACAAAATCATGAGTCAAATAATATAAAGGCTACTTTTCTTACAAACTCATGTAATCAAAATGATGAGATGAAAAAAGCTGCCTATTTTTCTGTTTATGTGAAGGGAAAGTGCATTCTACACACACACAGACACACATATACACCAAACTGATAGCTTTAGAGCTAGATTTTCCTTTAAACATTGAAATTCTAAACAGCACATATTAAGACAACTTCCTTAAAGGCATTACATGGAGCATGATCTACAATTTCTAATAAGCAAAAGGAGTAGAAAGTAAAATAAAATATTCTTTTGATTTTCTTTTCTATATTTACTGTTATTAAATGTTTAAAGCCAATATTTCTGCTTCAAAGCAAGTTTTTTTTTATTGTCATGCAACTATGTGTTTAATCCCTTAAAAATAGCAAGAATTATAAATCAGTTTTGCCTGTGTTTCTTAATGTACTTTTTTTAAAGAAAGTTTTTCCCTAATTGCACATTAATATTTAAATAATGTGAAAATTCATGAATTTAGAAGGAAGTTCTAGCATTTTAGAGCTTTTGAAACTGTTGAGAAATGCATGTTTAAAACTCTAAGAGTTTAAGAAAATGTTATGTGTCATTGCACATCATTTGTCTTTACAGATTTGATGATGATAATGAACAATAAACTCTGATAGCAGAATTTTTAAATCTTCAATTGTATATACTATTCAGCACATGTTTATTTAGGAGGAGGAGGTTATTTTAATACATCCCCTCCTCTTAAGTAAAGAAAGAAGTCTATCAATGTTCTTTTGTAGAATAAATGCAATAATTTATATATTTAATACAAATGAAGTACGTATATTGAGCATGGTTTTATATGTAAAAATGAAGTTTTTTAATCTTTTCTTCTCAAGAAAATGTTGGGAGATAGGTTCTCTCCTTTCATTCATTACCAATAAAAATATAATAAATTAAAAAGATATATGTGCAGAGATAATTTTTTAGCCTTTAACATTAACCTACCACAAAGTTTAGATAACTAATAACATTTCTGCATCCATCTTTTAGTTGTTATCAATGAAATTCATCTTTTCCATAGTACTGTGAATCATTCCTTTGAGTCACCTTATTTTAAAGGAACAAATGGTAAACATAGATTCTCCTCTTTTAATCATTTGTTATGGGCATACAAGGTAGCTATTGGTCTGCTCTTATCACTGTATTCTCATGGAAAAAAAATGGAAAGCAATCAAAAATAACAGAGAAGGAGACAAACATCTTAAATTTAATCTAGCTTTAAAAATAACTTTTTAATGAAAAAAGACATTAAATTGTGTCTTCCTGGTAAACAAGCAAATAGGGACTAATGGAGAACAAAACTAGAGTTAGAACTACACAGGATATTAATAGCACATCTCATTTAAATCTTGTTAGAGTGCATGACTTTCCTAAAATAACTCATTTATTTTTACACCTAATAATTTATCAAAATAAATATAATACCTGAGGATGTTATAATATATCACATAAAGTTGAATATACATAAAATATTAATGATTATAAGTTTTCAATAGAACCATTTTAAAATTTCAACTTGGGGTTAAATAAATAATTGACTTACATAAATAATAGACTTTTAAACCTAAAATTTATTATTTTATGTCATTATTTTCAATGAATTTCTATTTTTAGGATTTATTTACAAAAAAATGTATCAGTAGTGTATATGCAAGAAGCAATGTCAGTGAAAATTTTTAAGACCTCTGAAAATTCTTTTCTATAACAACAATAGGAAAAGTAGCACAAATGATCAGAAAAAATTTCCAGAGTTCTGGAAATTAACCAAAGGCTTGCATCAATTGGGGATTTTTTTTTTTAAATATATCTGATCCCAGCATTAATGACACTCTGTGTGTTTTACTTGTTCTGTTCCAAAACCCAAAGACTCATCTCTGAGGTAGACTTGAAAACCAGCAGCCTGATAGCTACTGAAGGAGGAAGAACAGTGTTTGACCTCCCAGAAGCACCATTCCAGAGAACTATCATTATTTTATGTTTCATGGTTGCATGGAAATGTGAAGAGCAGGACCGATAAAATGGCATTGGTCTGATCAAGATAGCATAAAGCATATAAAAAAAAGTGGAGTCACTTATGTCAACTAAAATGGCTATCAGTCAGCCATGACACTTTGGTTCATAAGGAAAATGTCCTAAATCAGAGCAGACACATCCGGCAAGGAGACATACTCACTTGTTAGAGTAGTTGTTAGGTTAAAGTAGCTGTTTCTGCAGGGTGGGACCACCCATAAATAAGTCTCCTGGGAAAATTGCCCACTTGGCATCAGGGGAGCCAAGACATTTATCTAAAAGACCCAGAAGGGTCGAGTCCACCACTCTCAAGGTATAACTGAGGCAGGCTCCAGACCCCTGCTGAGACAGCTGAGCTCCACACACCAGAGTGCTGCTTGACGCCACTCTGATCTCCCTCGGCATTGGCCACCAGAGGCTCTGCCCTGCTGGACTGAGGACTTCGCCTGCCCTGCTGCTCCCTGGCTCCAGAGATCCTTCCTTGCAAGACGCTGACACCTCCCTTCTCCATGGTGCTGTCTTCCCAACCTGCAGACTGAGACTCTGAGGCTTGGGCTCACTATTCCCCATTGATTGCTCTGTGTGTGTGTTATATTTCTCTTAGATTGTTAGAGTGTGAGTGGGATATTAATGTATGTTGATGTTTTACTTTGAGTGAACCTGCAGTCAATAAAAGCTGAGTGAATAGCTAGTTACTGTGTATGACTACTGTCTGTTCCTTGGCGCCGGGCTGCTCAGCAGGCAGTGAGCCAGGCAGTTGCCCCACTGACTTACGTATAGGAAAGACTGTATCATGAACTTACACTTGTGGCAGGAAGATCCTAATTACAAGGCTAGCTTTATTTATTCTGAATTGAACCTCTTCCAGGGCAAGAAATTTTCCCATGAGGGTGTTTTAAAACAATGAATAAATTTTTTTTAAACTGTTTAAAATCATGGATTTCTGAGTTGTGAAGTGACAGATGGAACAAATACAAGCTAAAGAAAGGAAAACCTGGGGAATGAGATGCACATGGATATTTAGATAAACTGTGTCATTTCCTGAAAGTCTAGAAGGTTATGCACATGTAAAAAGCTATGCACAAACACAGTAAAAAACCTTGCAGCCTCTCATCTCTGGACTTGGAAACACTGTGCCAAAAGGAGAAACGGCTGGATGGAATTCCCAACGGCTGGGCAGAGTGTTGAAGGCATGCCCTCACACTCACGCAGAGCTCTCAGAGGAGATAAGGACTTTTATTGGTTCTAGACATTTAAAGAAAACCTGTCCAATTATTAACAGACCAATGATTAAACCTAGCAGATATATCAACATCATAAACAATGAAGAGTAGAGACATTACAGAATCCTCAAAGGCTGGTCATAGTAATAGATCTTTAAAATTATTTGATATGGCTTTGTCCCTAAGAAATTGTTTGATTTTTTGATTTACTGTCTTGGTGGTGGAAAAATAGTTTTTAGTTCTTTCATTTGGATCTTCCTTCCACGATAAATTTCACTCTACAGATAAAAAAGAAATGCTATGTCTTTGCCAGTTGCTAAGCATGTTCACTTTAATTATATATTCAGAAATTGGGGGAACATCCAATTGAGCCTAAGAGCATCACCCAGAGCAAGGAATTGCCCATGTCACCGAACAACTTGTATGTTCGGCTCTTGTGAACTGAATTGTGTTCCCTCAAAATTCACATGTCAAAGCCCTAACCTTCAATGTGGCTGTATTTGGAGAAAAAGGCCCTTATAAAGGTAATTAAAGTTAAATGAGGTAATAAAGGTGGAGCCCTAGTTAAGAAAACTGGTGTCCTTAGAAAAAGAGAGACAAGGAGGGATGTGTGTGCACAGAGCATATAATGAGGTAGCACTCTGAAAGCCAGAAAAGTCTCAGCATACAGAAACCTTTCAACATCTTCATTTTGAATTTAAAGGCTTCAAAACTAAGAAAACATATTTCTGTGGTTAAGTCCCTGGATGCGTCATAGTTTGTTATGGCAGTTCTGACTAAGTAATACAGTAGCCCAGTAGTCTAGCCCCACTTCTGGAGCCCTTTGAAGGCTCATCTCAGCTTCAGAGGCCCAGACAGAGTAAATTGAGGACTTAAGTTGGCACTACTGCCTAATTCCTCCTTCCCCCAAGTTTAGCTGTCTTTTCTTTCCTCTGCCCAATGTTTGCTGATCCTAAAGCATTGCCTAACCAGCCTTCAATGAGCACACTTCACCTCACAGTTTGCTAATATGGAATCCAAACTGTAGCGATCATCTTTTCTGCATATCCCTTCCCAGTTTACCCGAGCAGAAGGTGCATTTAGTTTGTTTGTTTTTTACAATACCAATAACTTACCCACATGCCAGTATAAATTATTGGTAATTGAAAAAATACAGCATTGGTAATATAAAACTGCTAAAAGATTGACTTACACTTACCGGGCAGGGAGATACCATGATCACAAAGGTGGCTTTCCCAGGGCAAGGCTTATCCATCACACTCAGGATGCACTTACCGCTGAGAGTTCCCCAAATGTGGGGAACTCACTTGTGGTAGTGGGAGACTGCATTCGCGCTCTCCCTTGGGGAGGAAATGATTACCTTTCCAGGAATTAGGAAAATTATTCTAAACCTGCTAATGTTT